GTGTGTGTGTGTGTGTGTGTGTGTGTGTGTGTGTGTGTGTAGATTATAGAAGTTAGCAAGTCCAAAATCTGTAGGGTAAGAAGCCAGCAGGCTGGAGACTCAGGGAAGAGCTGATGCTGCAGTCCCAATGTGAAGGCCATTTGCTGGCAGAATTCCCCCTTCTTTTCTATTAAGGCCTTCAACTGATTAGATGAGCCCACCCACACTAAGTGGGGTCTTTTTGCTTTGCTCAGAGTCTACTACTTTAAATATTAAACTTGAGCCATGCATAGGGGCTCATATTTGCAATCCCAGCACTTTGGGAGGCTGAGAGAGGAGGATCGCTTGAGCTCAGGAGTTTAAGATCAGCCTGGGAAACACAGGGAGACCCCCATTTCTATAAAAAAAAAAATTTTTTATTAGCTGGCTTGGTTGCACACATCTGAGGTCCCAACTAGTTGGGAGACTGAGGTGGGAGAATCACTTGACACTGAAGTTTGAGGCTGTAGCAAGCTGTGATTACACCACTGCTCTCCAGGCTGGGTGACAGAGACCCTGTCTTAAAAAAGGAAAAATTCACAGAACCATCTAGAATAATATTTGGCCAAATATCTGGGTACCATGCCTATCCAAGTTGACACATACAATTAACCATCACAGAATGTATTAAAATCTTTAAATTACTTTTCTGTGATGCTTTGTTTGTGAAGCAGTCTGGACAGGATTATTAAACATTCTAGGGGAAAGGTTGTGTTTAAATCACGTGAAGTCAGAGGTGCTGTGAAATATGCAGGTGGCAATGGCAGGCAGGTGACTGCATAGCAAATACGAAGCTGGGATGGGAGAACAGAGCTGGAAACACAGATCTGGGGGTGTCCATGAACAGATCCATGCCATCTAATGCAGGTTCCTGAGATGATGGGAGTGTTATGTATCTGCACTGCCCACGGGGCAACCACCAACCACACCTGCTCTTGAGCCCTTGAAATGTAGCAAGTGTGACTGAAGACTGTATGTGCTGACTAGCTCAATTGAGTTACATTAAATTAAATTTTTTTTTAAGCATGAATTTTCCTTTAATAATCTACTAAATATTGTGCTTACCAAATCAAACAGGAAATCTGGTTACAAAGACAAAATGGTCATTTGGCAAAGTAATTGGTGAGTTTTGTTAGAATGCAGAAATGTGGTCTCCATCCCAGACCCACTGAATCAGGCCCTGTGTTTTAACAAGATCCTCAGAGAACCCTACTATCTTTCAAGTTTGAGAAGTGCTAAGTTAAAGCAATACATATTTGCATTACTCTAGGAGCTCGTGGAAAATGGTCTGCATTCAGCCCCCCACCTCCAGGTGTTCTCTTTTGGTCTGGGGTGAGCATTAAATTAAATTTTAATTTAAATAGCCACATCATGTGTGGCTGCCATGTTGGATACCATGGGCACAGATAGAATTTAAAGCCATCAGAGTGGAGGAGAGCATCCAGCCCCTTGGTTTTAGGGAAGCATAGAGAGGGAGGACCAAGGAACACATCTGGGAACCCCAGTGTTTGTCGTGGAGGTGGAAGAGGAAGACACAGCAAAGGGGACTGGAAAGAAGCAGCGAGAGAGGCGGCCTGAGTTGGGGCCGCAGGCTGCATTCATTGATGTCTTAGTGTGTGATCTATGCATTCATTGATGTCTTAGTCTCTGCCTTTCTGATATGACGTTGTGGAGATAACTGAGGAAATAGTGGGCATAAAAGCACTGAAAATAGTCAGAAGGCCTTCCTAACACTGTGCTGGGTGGAGCCCACACGGGCACACGCCCACGTCCTCCTGACAGTGCCTGTGCGTCGCTCCCTGCAGTCATCCAGATAGATTGGCTTTTTTGTCCTCAAATCAGCACAGTTGTGTTGGAAAATTATGGACCTAAAGATGTTTGCTGGTCTGGAGCCCCTGTGTCTGGCGCTAGTCTCTGCAATTCTGAGCTCAGAGGCTCCACCACCTGCCCAGGCCTCCCGCAGCTATGGCAGCACGCAGTGGGTCAGGCTGAGGCCATGGCATAGGCCCCTGTTCCCTACCTGCAGGGTTGAATTTCTTCCCCAGACCAATCACCCAACCACCAGGGAGTGTGTGGAAGACTGCAGGTCTGTGATGAGAGTCTCAGTCAGCCCTGGATATCTGGCATTTTTCATTTTAGGGTCTATTTGACTTCACGGTAATCTTGAGTTGGGTTGTGTCCCAGAGCCTAGGATGCTGTTTGCTGATTACAGCCTGTTTGCTTCTCCCTGAAGGAACCCAGCCAACTGCTTCCTAAATGCCCCATCCTGGCCACACTCCAGAGGAGCCAGAGTAGCTGCAGTGACATTTCACCACTTCTTGGTGTATGGCTTCCCCTAGGGGATGATGGCATTCTTTTTGGTGAGAGAGGTCATATGTATCACAGTTACCGGTGCAGGTAACTGTTTATTTCAAACTAACATGTTTCAAACTAACATTTCAAACTAACTATTTATTTCAAAATAACATGTCAAAATAGGCAAACCCATACAGTATAAAACTGAGCACATGGGAGAAATCTTACTAGAGCAGAGGAGGGAAAGAGCAGGGAAATTTTCCTAAAAGAATCATGTTAGAAGCTGGGTTTCGTAGGGAGCATGTGGATGTGAATGTAGCGCACACCCTGTGCCATCAGGATGAGAGGGACATCTGTCCACCCCAGCCTGCAGCCATGTTCTCCTGTGTGCTTAGTGCCAGGGCTTTTTTTTTTTTTTTTAATTTACACATCCATCACAAAGGACACCAAGAGAAGTCTTTCTTTAATGTTTGTAAAACTATTAAAAACAAAATCTAAAAAGTATATGATAAGAGTTGTTGATAGCCCAGGAAGTATAGAAATTATGAGCTGTCCCCACCTGGATGGAAGCAATTAAACTACGTCTGTTTGACACTGGTGTTAAGTAGGGAATTTCTGATAAAAACTAACAAGCATATCTTCTATGATGGTAAAGAGTTATATGATCACAGAGTGTGATTTCCAGTCCATGGAAGGTTTTGTCATTTTGTTGTTGTTGTTTTGAGACAGTCTTATTCTGTCACCCAGGCTGGAATGCAGTGGTGCCATCTCAGCTCACTGCAGCCTCTGCCTCCCAGGTTCAAGTGATTCTCCTGCCTCAACCTCCCGAGTAGCTGGGACTGCAAGCACGCACCACCATGCCTGTCTAATTTTTGTATATTTAGTAGAGATGGGGTTTCATCATATTGGTTAGGCTGGTCTCGAACTCCTGACCTCAGGTGATCCACCCACTTTGGCTTCCCAATAGTTCTGGGATTACAGGTGTGAACCACTGTGCCTGGCCATTTTTGTTTTGTTTTATTGTTTTCAATAATAAGGGCATTCACCTGCCAGCCTATGCAACTCTCTTAGTCCAGACGGACTCAGGTGTTAGAATGGAGTGTGCTTGTCCCAGTGTCTAAAATGCAGCGTGACCCTGAGAGGCGGAGCTCTAGGATTGGCATCCTTTCTCCCATCGGTTTTGAGTGCAAGGCCCGACTAGCACAAGCCCTTGAGCCCTGCTGGTGACAGAGTTTTCCCACTGGTTGGGCACTAAGGCTGTCCTGGAACTGGAAGGTCCCAAGCCTGCACCATCCTCCCCCGACCACAGCAGACTGAAGCAGTGACCACGTCACCCTGCCCAGCTCCTGTGGGCCGAGCTGCAACTGAAGCTAACAGCCCGTGGGGGATGTGAGTCCCTTCAGAGCTGCTGCTTGTCTGTGGCTTCTGCCTCCCAGCTGGCCTCTGCACAGTGATCAAATGAAAGAGGTTAGGATAATAACAGTTGGTCACAGATGTTCTGCTGCTGCAAAAATGAATAAAAGTCACTGTCGTGAATAAAAAAACACACCTCCTCTCTGTACTCCATGTCACCCTGTATACTATTTCAGGGTATTTTGAGACAGTTTTCAGCAAGGGATCCTCCCACCTCAGGCTCTGGAGTAGCTGGGATTACAGACGCGTGTCACCACATCTGGCTCCACTTGTGTTTTCACAACAGATATTGAACACAGAATAAATGGGGAAATGGAAAAGGGTATAAAATGAAGTATGAAATCTAAAATATATAATTACATATAATATCTAAACAAAATTAAGAAATTTGGCCAGGTGCGGAGGCTCATGTCTGTAATCCCAGCAGTTTGGAAGGCACACACAGGTGAATCACCTGAGGTCAGGAGTTCGAGACCAGGTTGGCCAATATGGTGAAACCCCACCTCTACTAAAAATACAAAAATTAGCCAGGCATGGTGGTGGGTGTCTGTAGTCCCAGCTACTAGGGAGGCTGAGGCAAGAGAACTGCTTAAACCCAGGAGGTGGAGGTTACAGTGAATCGAGGTCGTGCCACTGCATTCCTTCCTGGGACAACAGAGTGAGACTGCATCTCGAAAAAAAAGAAGACGAAGAAATCCTACTGAGGAACATGATGGCCAGGCACCGTAGCTCACACCTGTCCCAGGACTTTAGGAGGCTGATGCAGGCAGATCACTTGAGCCCAGGAGTTCAACACCAGCCTGGTCAACATAGCGAAACCCCTTCTCTACTAAAAATACAAAAAATATATGTATATATATTAGCTGGGTGTGGTGGTGCGTGTCTGTAATCTGTTACTGAGGTGACTGAGGAACAAGAATCACTTAAACCTGAGAGGCAGAGGTTGCAGTGAGCTGAGATCGAGCCACTGCACTCCAGCCTGGGTGACAGAACAAGACTGTCTCAAAAAAAGAGGGAATTTTTCATACTCGATTGCATCCAGAAAATGTATCTCTCCATATTCCTTCTTAAGAAGGAAACCTAGGCAATAAAATGGGAGTAAAATCCAAAAATCAGTGAGGTTCTGGAGGGCTTAGGGGTGAAGGGTTTCATAGAATGATGGGATGATTAAGAGCTTGAGGCTGTGATAAAGGAGAAGATGAGAAGCTGCGTGAGGAAGCCACAGTTCAATGTGTCTATGAGGCAGTCTCTCTGTGTCAGAATTGAATGGTGAGGCCACGAGGAGAATGTTAGGACTTATAAGCAACAGTCAGAATGGGCAAGAGGCCAGATGAGAAGGGAGGCTGAGGCAAGAGAACTGCTTGAACCCAGCAGGTGGAAGTTACAGTGAGTGAGTTGAGAAGGAGGCATGAAGTCCTCCTCCCAGTAAGGAAAACCCCAAACAAGCAGAAATTGTAGGAAAGAACCAAACTTTTGAAGAAAGGCAGGGTCCAAATCCAGAGCACACTAAAATGGTAGAGTGATTTTGGACAATCGGTAGAGTAACAGAGGAAGTCCTTTGAATGAAGCCTTGAGTGGCACAGGTCACAATGATGGAACTGTAGAGGGCACATGCCCAGAGCTGCCTTCTGAGATGCTGCTTGTGGTTTTCACCTTCCAGAATCATTCTGGTCAGAGACCACAGAGGACTTAAATGTGCTTCCAGAGAAGGAAGCAAATGTTTTCAGCTGTGGCAATTTACAACTTGACCAGGTGGAAGGAAGATGGGGGAATTTATTCCTGACATACAACGTGGAGTAAGGAAGTGGTGTCCACATCACATCAATAGGACAATAAAATAGAAGTTCGAGAATGCTATTTAAGGTTACAAACATAGCTAATATTAACAGGGCACTAAAATTAGCTATGTGACTACAGTGCAAGGAGGAGGCAGATGCATGATGCCTGAGTCCTGTAGGAACTGGAGGAATTCGTCCTGGAGGAAGTCCATTGAAAATGCCTTCATTTTAGAAATCAAGTAGTAGTTGTGTAAGCATTTACAGAGATATGGAAATAATTCACAACTAAGCAGAAATTAAAAGGTAGTTCTCTGAAGGACCAGGATTGAAGGAACAGGTTTTCATTCTATTTAAATACAGTCTATATATACTATAATATATGCATATATTACTTTCATAATTTTTTGATACAGTATCATGATCAAGCAACTTTGTTATACAACAGAATGTGTATGCCATAAATCTTATTTATTTATTTATTTATTTATTTATTTTTTGGAGGTGGAGTCTCTGTTGCTCAGGCTGGAGTGCAAGAGCGCAATCTCGGCTCACTGCAACCTCTGCCTCCCGGGTTCAAGTGATTCTCCTGCCTCAGCCTCTCGAGTAGCTGGGATTACAGGCACCCACCACAACGCCTGGCTGTTTTTGTATTTTTAGTAGAGACAGGTCTTCACCATGTTGGCCAGTCTAGTCTCGAACTCCTGACCTCAGATGACCACACGCCTCGGCCTCCCAAAGTGGTGGGATTACAGGCGTGAACCACCACGTCCAGCCGCATAAATCTTGCAAAGTATAAATTACCTAAATCTTGACAGAGGTAAACAAAAATTTATCTCTGACAGGTGTCAGTCAGTAATGTTGGTTTTGGTGCAGTTGCAACCTCTTTATTTTTTTTTTTCTTAAACCGAGACCGTATTTTGTACACTTGACTTCTTATTCTTTGTTTTATAATAGTGCATAATTTATATGGGAATATCAGTTGATGTTCTTTCCTGGCAAAAGCTGTATATTTTAAATTAATGATTCCAATCTGTTTGTCTTTTTAACCTAGAAGAGGAATCTATTGTTGGCATTTGAAGCAGCTGAAAGTGTAGGCATCAAACCCAGCCTGGTAAGTATCCTATTTTGTATGCTTGTGATACTTTATTTTAATTGTATGAGAAATAGCTTTATGGCAGCTAATAAACAATTTCTTGTAGAACATTGACATCTGTTTGCTGAAAGTCTGTTGCTCTCAATACCTAATATAGAATTATGCAGTTGATCTAATCACATATGATTTAGAAATTTTCGATTCTAAGAGATTTTCAATCACATACGATTTCATACGGACAAATTTCAGTTCTGGAAACACACAATAATAATTCAGTGGACTGAATTATTATTAGAGCCCTCTGGTTCAGAGCACCTAGAAATCTGAATAAAATGCTATTTTTAAAAATATCAACATATAGCTGACCTCTCAAGGAAGAATGGGAAATACCCAGATGCCAGAAATGTAAAATGAAGCAGGAACCAGGCATAGGCTGAGCCTGCAAAAGCCAGCAGGGGTGGGTGGGGAGCAGAGGGCCAGGCAAGCACCAAGACCCCTGCCTGTATAAAGCCAAGGCTTACAACATGCTGCTCTTCTTAGTGAAAGCAGAAATCTCTAAAACTCCACCAGCCAGTCCAGGGAGGTGATAAGGAAGCTGGTCTCCGTGTGTGTGTGTGTGTGTGTGTGTGTGTGTGTGTGCGCGCGCACGCGCGCACGCGCGCACAGAGAAAGGAAAAGGAGAGAGAGAGTAAAAGGAAAAAGTCTCTTGCAAGGAAAGGAAAAGGGCCAGATGAGATTTAGAGTCCAAATTTATAATATCTGTGCTGCATGAAGCCCTTAGTTTATACTCTTGGATGCAGGAAGCCCCTGGACTGATGCTATAGTGGCTGCTAAAAAATGACAAAACGCTTGAGAAAATGATCTACTTGAGCTAGTCAGCAGATACAGCAAACAAAAGGATTATCTACTAGAACTTGAGATGATAAATAAGAGACAACAATAAGACTATTTAAACATATTAAAGAGATAAAAGGAGCAATATAAACCACAAAGAAAGAATGATTCAATTTAAAAAAGATTTTTAAAAAGAATCAAGTAAGACTTCCAGAAATGAAAATGTAGAATTAAGACCACAATATGTGTTGCCAAATTTAATAGATACAGCGGAAGAGAGAACTACTAAATTGGAAAATAAATATAGGGAAATTACCCAAAATATAAAAGAGACATTAAAAACTATAAAATATAATAGTAAAGTTGAATTCATATGTGTTCAGCCTCAGTAAAGGGAAAAGCCAACTGGCAGTTGCTTAAACCATAAAATGTCAATTTTCTTTTTTAGCAACAGTAGTTTTAGGATTGGTTCACGACTCAGTATTATATTCAAAGTCCCGGAGTGTCTTCTCACCATCTTTAATCTGTTTCTTTTGTCTCCATACTTGTTCCTTTGTGGTTGAAGGTGGCTGCCAAACTTCAGACATCACTTTCACCTGCAGGGTAGGAAGAAGGGAGAAGAGATAGAGCAAGTGTCTCCTGTCTTTTCCCTTTAAAGAATGAAAGTAAAAGGCTCCTTGGGTTTCCCCAGCCCCTTGGCAGTACTCTGTTACATGGTCTCCAGCTGCAAGGGCATTTGAGGAAGTGAGCGTATAACATTTTTCAGTTTCTTTAGTGGGAAGCCTGCAAGGGAGAGAGAGCTTGGGAATTACTGTTGGGCTATCAAACTAATAGGGTCTGTCTCAGAGTTTAAGAAACATGGATGAAAAAATGAGACGATGGCCATGTCCCATGCCCAAAGGGAATTCCTGATTTGAAAAGGATAGAAAGAATGGAATGGAGACAATATTTGAAGATACGATGCCTGAAAATTTTCCAGAATGATGAAAGGATAATGAAAGAGTCCACAGATTCTTTATTTATCTCAAGCAGGATGAATAAAACAAAAATACCCATCCAGACATATTGTAATGAGACTACAGAAAAATCAAAGACAAGACAGATAATCCATTAAAAATTTCTGCTAATCAGTAATAAAAATACAACGTAGTAGGAAATTATCAAAGGCTAGAATAGGCAGTTCAGAGAAGAAGATCACGAATGGTCAATGAGCAGTTTTAAAGATGTTCAGTCTCATTAGGGATTGAGAAAATCTTAAGTTTAAATAAAAATGAGATACAATTAAAATGGCCAGGCATGGTGTCTCACGCCTGTAATCCTGGCACTTTGGGAGGCCGAGGTGGGTGGATCACCTGAGGTCAGGAGTTTGAGACTGGCCAATATTACAAAACCCCATCTCTACTAAAAATACAAAAAATTAACTGGGCGTGATGGACCTGTAATCCCAGCTATATATTCAATTTGACCATGATACCCAAGATAGAATATGTCAGAGCCAAGATTTGAACTCGCCTCGGTGACTTCGAAACCTATGCAGTGGCCCCCATACAACATGGCCTTAGTACAATTGAGGAGTGGCCTTGGGAAATACCTGCTCCCTTTTTTTTTTTTTTAGATGGAGTCTCGCTGTGTCACCCAGGCTGGAGTGCAGTGGTGTGATCTTGGCTCACTGCAACCTCCACCTCCCAGTTTCAAGCAATTCTCCTGCCTCAGCCTCCTTAGTAGCTGGGATTATAGGTGTGCACCACCACACCCAGCTAATTTTTTGTGGTGTTTTTTTTTTTTTTTAGTAGAAACAGGGTTTCTCCATGTTAGCCAGGCTGGTCTCGAACTCCTGACAGGTGATCCTCCTGCCTCAGCCTCCCAAAGTGCTGGAATTACAGGTGTGAGCCACCACACCCAGCCCTTTATCCATACTACTGTTGATGGGCACCTATGTTGATTTCATGTCCTTGCTATTGTGACTAGCGCTGTGATGAACATAAGTGTGCATGTGTCTTTTTGGTAGAATGATTTCTTTTCTTTTGTATATATACCCAGTAATGGGACTGCTGGATCAAATGGTAGTTCTGTTTTAAGTTCTTTGAGAAGTCTCCAATTGCTTTCCACAGTAGCTGAACTAATTTACATTTCCACCAGCAGTGTATAAGCATTCTCTTTCCTCCACAGCCTTGTCAGCATCTGTTACTTTTTGATTTTTTTATCAGTAGCCATTCTGACTGGTGTGAGATGATGACATCTTTAAAAGTGAAGCTCTATAGAGTTCCCCAGATATTAGAAATTGTTCTTCCTCAGCCACCGTGTAGGGAGAACATCTTAGCCCGTCCAATTGCAGGTGCAAGCAACTCCTCGGGAAAGGAATTACGTGTGGGAGGATATGTGACATCACTGTCATTAAACATCCAGAACATGTGCCCCAGGGCTGCTGTGTCATTACCAGGCCATGTAGTCCATGAGGGCTGTTGCTCACTGAGTGCCAGTGTGCCCACCAGGACAGCCACTGCAGGACTGGGTGCTGCATGCTTCCATGGAGGAGGTCACCACACAGCAATTCCTGAGGTGTGGCTGGGCCTACTCTGCAACTGTAAACTTGATGAGCTGTGCTTAAATAGCTAATTTGTGATTGATTGTGTGAAAAGCATTTTTTTTTCGTATTTGCTGTGTGTATTTACTGTTTACCATTCCTGGCGTTTTTCATGCATGGACTTGTTGGACACTTACAGAGGTCCTTAAGATGGATGCCCTCTACAGGGGGAAACTGAGGCATGTGGCTTATGAGCAGGAAAGGTAAGAGGCAGGGTCAGGCAAGCAGCTCCAGAGCTCATACTCTCAGCCACCCTGACAGCTGTGTTCACCTTCTGCACATATTTTGTTAGATTTAGACCTTAGTTTTTTTTTGGTTTTTTTTTTTTTTTTTGGTGCTATTGAAAATAATATTGTTTTTTCTTATTACAGAATCCAGTTGTTCAACCATATATAGGACAGCAGTTGACTTTTGTATACTGACTTTGTATCTGACTTTGCTAAACCTGCATGTAAATGCTTTGGGATATTCTAAACAATTATGTCATCTGCAAATAAAGACAGTTTTATGTCTTCCTTTCCAATCTGCATGCCATTTATTTTTCATGCTTTTTTGCACTAGCTAGAACTTCCAGTACAGTTTTTCTTTTGTTTGTTTTTTGTTTTTTGTGGTTTTTTTTGAGCAGAGTCTTCTCTGTCACCCAGGCTGGAGTAAAATGGCATGATCTTGGCTCACTCAACCTCCGCCTCCTGGGTTCAAGTGATTCTCCTGCCTCAGCTTTCTTAGTAACTGGGATTACTGGTGCCCGCCACCATGCCCAGCTAATTTTTTTTTTTAGTAGCGATGGGGTTTTACCGTGTCGTTCAGGCTGGTCTTGATCTCCTGACCTCAGGTGATCCCCTTGCCTCAGCCTCCCAAAGTGCTGGGATTACTTATAGTCCAGTAGAGTTTTAAACAGGACAGATGAAAAAGGGTATCCTTGCCTAGTTCCTGATTTTATGGGGGGAGTGTTCAAGTCTTTCACCATTAAGTATGATATGAGCTGTTGGTTTTTTGTACATATTCTTTATTAGGTAAAAGAGGTTCCCTTCTATTCCTAGTTGTTGAGGGTTACCACATATAAAAACTGTCTTGGTTGTGGAATTTTGTGTAATGCTTTTTCTTCATCTGTTGATTTGATCATGTGGTTTTTCTCATTCAGTTATTTAAGGTGATGAATTACATCAGTTCACAAATGTTGAACCAGCCTTGTGTTCCTGGGATAAACCTCACTTGATCATGATTTATTGTACTTTTATAGATTAATGGATTCAGTTTAGTGTGTACTCATGAGAAACTGGCATGTAGATTTCCTGTAATATTTGTGTCTAGTTTTGGTATCTGGATAATGTTGGTATCACAGAATGAGTAGGGAAGTGTTCTTTCCTCTTCCATGTTTTGAAGAGATTGTGTAGAATTGGTATTATTTCTTCCTTAAGTATTTGATGGAATTCACAAGTGAAATCATCTTGGTCTGGTATCTTTTGGAGGGTCTTAACTACTAATTCAAACAAATGTCATGCACTATAAGATTGTTACTAATGCAGCATACTCTGTCTTCTGAAATGTGCAAAATATACTTTCACAAATTCTCAAATGTGACGTTAACAATGTACTAAATATTTTTACATAGTTCAATTATTATGAAGTTCAAGCATGTAAGATTGTCTGCTCACAACTGAATATTGATTGAACTTCTGACTCGTCCCTGAGATTAAAGACACGCCGTTTCCATCATACAGAGGAAAGTGTACAGTGTGCTCTCTCTCTTGCATTCGTAGCCATCCCTTTTCCCAGAGCTCATCTGTCTCCCAAATTGCATGCTGAATTCTTCATTACTTTCTTTCTGTAAGTCATGTTAGCAACCCCCCTTGGTAAGGATTTTAGCTTGCCAGGCCTCAGTCCGTGTAGTCATGACTACAGCAGTATAGGTAGAAGGAGACATTCTATCCTTGTGTGAAAGTTTGTTGTTGTTTTTTTTTAATTGTCCTGCATGGAATGTTCTACCAACTCCTCTTCCACTCCTTTCCATAACTAGTGATATGCTGATAATTTTTTAGCATCACCAGGGAGCAGAATAGGTGAAGTCTGTTCAGATGTTGAATCAGGGGATAGATGTGCTAAGTTCAGCCTTACTTTTCCATGGCATCTCTGCTTCTGGCTTTACATCAGGGTCCTTTCCTACTATTCTCTGGTAATCGCACAGGAATCCAAATTCAACCCCAAAGTTAATTGCTAAATATGTCCAGTGGCACAAATTTCAGAAAAGTTTGACTGAGTGCCTGACAGGATGCCTACCCTCTTCCCCTTCCCTTTCTGGCCTGGACTTTATGCATGTTCATCACAAGCTTATTTGCAAAATGAACAAAAATAAATCAGTCTATCAAAACCAGCAAATTAGCAAAAGTAAAAATAAAAATAAGCAAAAAATTTACCAAACTATATTAAATAATAAAAAAAAAAGTTAAATGGTAATACAATGCTGGTAAAACAATTACATTTGAAATTGGTTCAAGACTTTCGTGATAATCTCACTGTCAGGAATTTATCTTGAGGGACTAGTTTGACAGAAGGAAACAGTCTTGCACAAAGATGCTTATCGCAAAGTCTGTGGTGGTGACGAGGTGAGCATACACTGCACTCCATGTCCCTTGTGGACAGCAGTTTCCCTGAATAGTGCGCATCCACTAGAATGGCAGCCTGCAGAGTGGCATAGCAGCACAGGAACCCAGGTGTGAAATGCTCAGTCCATGTAATAGCACGTGCACTGTGTTGGGAGCCTGGGGAATTAGAGGTGTGGATTCAAATGTAATTTAGAAACTTGGAAATCATTTTAACAGTGAAATTATGGGTGACTTGCTTTTTAAAACTTGTTAAATGCTGTCCTATAGTTAAAAGATGAAAGTGGTGGGAAATCATGTTTTCCATTTTTGGAAAGGGACAGTATCTCCTGAATAAGAGGGAGGAAAGGGCCTTTAATTTATCACTTTCAGCACCACCTGTGCTGGCCTTCACGTTCTATGTAAGTGGAAGGTTTCCAGGCAGTGTAAGCCCTAGCCTGGATTGAAGTCCCAGAGGGGAAGGGGTCTGTGATGTCCTGCCTTATGATCTGTCCCCCATTTCCTTCCCCTGCAGGAACTCAGCGAGATGCTGTACACGGACCGGCCCGACTGGCAGAGCGTGATGCAGTATGTGGCCCAAATCTACAAGTACTTTGAGACGTAACCCTGGAGGGCCCGGAGCAGCCACCACTGCCACCTACTGCAGCGCCTGATCACTGTCCACTGACCCTGCTCTGCCCACCACCCGGCTGCCTAGACGTCAAAGACAGGCTCAATCCAAGCAGACCTACACCCAAATAAGAAACAGGGTGGGTCCCACGGCATACCTGCCTCAAATGCAAACCCAGCTGGACTGTAAATTGGGGACACTTTGTTCTCCCTCAGGATGCTTCTAAAGAGGGCAGCCTCCCTCCTTCCAGACCAAGACCCCACACCCAGGATTGTTTTGCTGATTACGCTGGGTGACTGAACACATCATCTGCAGAAATTCAGACAAACAACATCTCCAAATCAGTCTTTGGGTTGTTTTTGTTGTTAAAAATATCCTGGCTTTGCCTTTATGAAACCTTTGCCTTTGGCTGGGTGTGGTAGCTTGTGGCTGTAATCCCAGCACTTTAGGAAGCCAAGGCAGTAGGATAATTTGAGCCCAGGAGTTCAAGGCTGCAGTGAGCTATGAGCATACCACTGCACTCCAGCCTGTGTGAAAGAGCCAGACCCTGTTGCAAAAAAACAATAAACAAAAAGCAAAATTTTGCCCCTATAAACCTTCCCTCCTTTCCCCGCTCCAAAATAAAAACCAGCAGAACAGAAAAAATAAACATTTATTCCAGGGCAACCTGGAAGCCTGTGCTCGCTCAGCCTTTTGGGAAGAGGTAGGAGTTCTAGGTAACAATGTTAACACCTAGAACTTGATTCATTTTTAGTTCTCACAGTTCCTTATTTGGTTCATTGTAGCAAAAGGAAACCCTGTGAGAATGCAAGAGAGCCCTTGGCTGCTTTGCTCGAGGGTCCCTGGAGGTGCCCCACACCTCTGCCCACCACAGTCTGTGTGGTCCCGAGGGCTGGCAGCTTTCACACTAGGGAAAATGCAGTCCTCGTTGCCCCCACCTTTGTCCTCCCATTCGTTGACACCCACACAGGCTTGTCCCCCACAGCATTTGACAGGAGGTCACATGTGGGAATGGCCTGTGTCTGCTTTGCAGGGTTGAGCAGGCTGAGGGCATGTGCTTCTGGGGATGCTGTGCTGACGGCAAATCCCGACAGTATTTCAGCTCTGGACTGACTTGGCCTTCAGTGCTTCCCCAGGCCTCATGTTGGCATGGGAAAAAGAAGCCTTTGGGAGTGGGTGGTGAGGGCCCGTTTATAATTAACAAAGAAGAATGTAGTTGCTCCTGACACCCTACTGGTCTCCTTAAGTGGCAGCAGAGCCCTTGAGCCGCCCCAGTCCCTCAGAAGAGCTCGGTCTGGCCTGGGTGCCCATCTGGTGTCTCTGCGGTGTTCTGGGCAGATCTATGTGCACTACACAACGAGTAAGGGTGTGGCTCATACAGGTGGTTGAGGGAAATGGGTAATGCCCATCCCTTGCTGTTTTAAGTGCCAAATAGCCTGTTAGTGCCCCTCCAACAAAGGATCATCCTTTCAGTAAGTCACTGTGAAAGACAGTGACTACCATTACCACTCAAAGTACATCTCTGATTGCTGATCTGAGCCACTGGTTCAGAGCCAAGTTCTAGAGGCTGCAGGTCCAGCCCCTTATTCCTGGAGAAGCAAGAGCTCAGTCCCGCTCTCCAAGCCAGACCTTTGCAGAGATGGCAGCTGGCTGCACGGGTCAGGGGATCCCTGATTCTCAAGCCACCTTGAGACGAGAGACTCCGCCCCAGCCCTGTGAGTGCATCCCAGCTGCGGCTCTGCAGCACAACTGCAGGGCACCCTTTTGAAAACTCTTGGCTGCCCCAGTTGGTTATATCAGAATGTATGGAATGGGACCAGAGATGCTGTCTACATGTTTTGAAGGTTCTTTAGGCGACTGAAGCACAGCTGCATGGAGAACCACTGAGGGGCGGATACCTTTCCCTGGCAGCCCCAAGGCAGGCAGCCTGCGGGAACTCCTGAGCAGCTTTTTGGCGATGGTCATTACATCACCCATGCCTCTGTATTTAAATGAAACTTGAGATACAGTCAGAACCAATTCAACCTGTAAGTTATTACTTCTGCTGCTTCAGGCACTTGTCTGAAGCATTTTTTATTAACCCTGCATTTCTACTTTGCACACCAGTAAAGTGGGGAAAAGTAATGTCCAAAGTAGTTCAGTTGAGCTGGAATTCCTCCAGGGTTTTATGTGGGGAGGCAGTTGCTGCCTTGGGATACCCAGAGTGGGGGTAGGTGTTTTCTGAGATTGGCCCGGTTACTTATTTTTATTTTTTATTTTGAGACAGAGTTTCATTCTTATTGCCCAGGTTGGAGTGCAGTGGCGCAGTCTCAGCTCACTGCAACCTCTGCCTCCCAGGTTTAAGCAGTTCTCCTGCTTCAGCCTCCCAAGTATCTGGGTTTACAGGTGTCACTACTACACCTGGCTACTTTTTTTGTATTTTTAGTAGAGGGGGTTCCACCATGTTGGCAAGGCTGGTCTTGAACTCCTGACTGCAAGTGATCCACCCACCTCAGCTTCCCAAAATGCTGGGATTACGGGTGTGGGCCCCTGTGCCTGGCTGTTTTTTGTTTGTTTGTTTGTTTTTTGAGACAGAGTCTTGCTCTGTTGCTCAGGTTGGAGTGCCAGTGGTGCTATTTCGGCTCACTCAGGTATGAGTCACCGCACCTGGCCTGTGATTGGCTCTGTTATGAGTGATTACATGTAAACCATCTAGAACCAACTTTGGGCAATGGTGTTGTGGTTTCCCTCCCTCCACGCTGGGACCATACCAGCCCCTCTCCCATGGGATCCCAAGTTGCCAATCACTGTGGCCAAACTTCCCATTTTTGTCTGTATCCTGCTCTTTAGATTAAAAAAAAGGAAAGAAACATGAAAGGCCATGTGCAATTTATTTTTGTAATTTAAGGAGATTCCCCAACTACCATTTTCTCTGCCAATGAGTGTGCATGTAAAAGAGGAATGCCATGTTCTGTCCACAGAAATACACATGGTGGTCAGGCGTAGTGGCTCATGCCTGTAATCTCAGCACTTTGGGAGGCTGAGGTGGGAGGACTGCTTGAGCCCAGGATTTTGAGACCAGCCTGGGCAACATGACAAGACTCTGACTCTATAAAAAAAAAATTTTTTTTTTTTTTTTTTTAGAAAGCGTCTCACTCCATCGCCCAGGCTGTAGTGCAGTGGCGTGATCGCGGCTCACTGCAACCTCCGCCTCCCAAGTTCAAGCAATTCTGCCTCAGCCTCCTGAGTAGCTGGGATTACAGGTGCATGCCACCAAGCCTGGCAAATTTTTGTATTTTTAGTAGAAACAGGGTTTCACTATGTTGGCCAGGCTGGTCTTGGACTCCTGACCTCAAGTGATCTGCCTGCCTCAGCCTCCCAAAGTGCTAGGATTACAGGTACCGTGCCTGGCCCAAAATTTTTTTTAAAAATTAGTTGAATACAATGATACATACCTGTAGTCTCAGCTGCTTGGGAGGCTGAGGCAGGAGCATCACTGAGCCCAGGAGTTGGAGGCTGCAGTAAGCTGTGTTGTGCCACTGTACTCTGGCCTGGGAAAAAAAAGCGAGACCCTGTCACACACAGAAAAGAAATACACATGGTGTTTAGGGGAAGGGCAGGTTCTGCTGGGGTCCTGGAGCTGTGACTGATGGCCTCAGGACTTGAGGAATAGGCCTTCTAGCACAGCAGCAAGTAGGCTCCCCCAAGCCATTGGCTGGCATGAAGGTGCAGGACCTGGGGGAGGCAGTCCCACCACAGCTAGGCCAAGGGGTAGGGTTTTTAGGTCTGTTTTTAACAGAGCTTAGAGCACCAGGTGAAGGTGGAAAGTTGATAAACTGGGAAAACAAGGTGAGCATCTTACATTTTCTTTAGCAGAGTATGCCATTCCCAGTTTCTCTCCTGAGACTTTCAGAGGCCACAACAACCACGTTTCTTTCCCTCTTTCCTCAGCCAGTACATAGTCATTTAAAATTCTTTGGTTGTTCTGCAGATTCTTTTTTTAATGTGTAAATTTTAAATGAAAAGACATCTGCAAAATGCAAGCTCCAGTAGAGTGGGGGAGTTTTTCAAGGCGAGAAGTTGCTGTTCTCTGCATTGAACATGGATTGAATTTTTCCTGTCTGATTGTAGCCCATGGTCCCCACCTTGTGGGGGTAACATTCTCAGGAACTTCTCTTGTCCTAGCCCTTCTCATTTCAAAAACAATATTAGTCTTTTGTTTCCCTTTTTCATTCAGTTGTTGTTTTACAACTTTTGTAGAGACCGACCCAAGTAGATGCTGGTGGGTGTTGGACAAAAACACACATCCCCAGGGGTAAGCCATCCAGTGGTGAGGAACCTCTCCCATGTTCTCTTTCCTGCTGCCCACAGAGACTGCCTTAGTCTCCACCTCCTCTTCCCCACTGAGGGGCAGCTTGTGGAGATGGAGGACTCAGGCCCCTAGATGCAGAACCCCTGCCAAGTCCAGCAATAGTTCTCACCCTTCCAAAGCTCGAGTGCCATTTTGAGATGACCTACCAGTGACATGCAGTGAAGGATATAACCTCATAGCCCTTTTAGAAGCATTTCCAATTGCTACCAATGCCACTGGGCATTTCACTCCTCTAACCCAGGTTAGAGTTTTGCTAAATCTGTAGCATCCTAAGTAGCATACTAATTTTAACTACATTAGTTGAATGCAGTTGATACATCTGTGGCCTCCTGTCTATAAAGAGCACACTAGATTGTAACCCGCACTGTTAGGATATGACATGCTTATTCGATGTCTTTATTCACAGGAAAGTGTATGATAAATGACTAATATTTCTAATAAATATATTTTGTTTCTGATGATTTTTTTCCCTTGGTGACATTTATCATTAATATTTTCTCAAAGTGCCATGCTTACACTGAGTCTGTTTTCAAACCAGCATCTTCATCCATGTATTCCTTGTTGGGTCACAGTCTTCACTGCAGCTGCTCTTTCGGGTTGTGCTGGAATTTTCCGCAGAGGACTGGGCTCCTGGCTCTTCCCCTTCCTGTTCCCAGCTTTCTTGCTGAGGCCACAGGCTCATGTGAAGATTGCCTTTCAAGGCCTACCCAGGATGCTGCTGAGCTGTGCAGATGTGCACACAATATGTGCAATGTCATATGTGTGACTAAATGCCAACTGAGACCCTGGAAACTACTTGCAGGGGGAATTATGCCAAGACTGAGGAGGCAAGGTGAAGATAGTTTTTTAAATGATTGCTTCCTTACTCCTCCCTAGTTCATGTTTTCTTATACATAATTACATTTATTCCTTGCTATACTACAAATCCCTAATTTTAGTTGGTCAGAGATGGATTTGAGATTGAGCTCCCATCTCCACGGCTGCAGCACCCGATTAAAGCCTTCTTCTTTGGCAATATTCATCCCTGTAATTGGCGCTCTGTGGGTGAGCAAAGCAGGACCTAGGCTAATGCCCCGAGGCGTCAGTGACAAAATCTGTTTTTCATAATACGATCTACACTGTCCTCAAGAATTAGTATTTAAGTACTTTCTAGAGTCTCCTTTGTCACTTTTCTTTGAGAGGAAGTCTTGCTCTGTCGCCCAGGCTGAAGTGCAGTGGTGCAATCTTGGCTCACTGTGACTCCCGCCTACTGGGTTGAAGCGATTCTCCTGTCTAAGCCTCCCAAGTAGCTAGGATTACAGGTGCGCCACGCCCAACTAATATTTCTATTTTTAGTAGAGTCGGGGTTTCACCTTGTTGGACAGGCTGGCCTCGAACTCCTAACCTCAAGTGATCCGCCCACCTCGACCTCCCAAAGTGCTGGGATTTCAGGTGTGAGCCACCGCGCCCGACCGACACTAGTGCTCGCGGGCTGCAGGGACAGGACGGACTAGAGGCGAGCGACCCCAGCGGCACCTGGCATTCCCCAACCCAACCGGGTGGCCAGCGGCAGGGCCCCTGGGCAGATGCGCGCGGCGGCTGCGGCTCAGAGCGGGGAGCGGCTGCTCGGCCCCATCCCCAGGCAGCGGAATGCCCAGAACTGGTCCCCTGGCTTGGGCGCCAGCCGAGTAGGAGCTGGGCGGGCCGTGGCGTCGGGCAGGCCCTTCCCGCGGGGCGGGCAGCTCGCTTTGACCCAGCCGCCTGACTCTGCTTGTGTCCTGGCAGCGATGACTCGGGCAACTCCGCTGCGGTGGCTAGCCCGGGGCGGCCAAGCGATGGCGGCAGAGGGGCGGGAACTGGTCCGCACGCCTGAACTGAGCAAGCAGAGGAGCAGGTGCGCGGCAGCGCTGTGAGGAGGCACTCCCTGAGGACAGGCAGGCTGGACGCCGCCACCACGAAGGACTCGCCAGCCCTGGCCGGCGCCGGAGCTGCAGCGCCACCTGTAGGCCGAGGAGTTTTCTCCGGGAGGCGGAAGCCTGTGCGCGCAGGGGCAGTGACGTCACACGCGCTGGTTTGGCGGTGGTCGCTTGGCCTGACATTTACTTGGCTTGGCGGTGGTCGCTTGGCCTGACAATTCTTAGTTGGCTTGGCGGTGCTCCTTTCACTGATTGGAAGCCTTGGGCTTTCCTGCTGGGAGGTTGTGGCCAAGGCAGTCACTCGCTACTGTTGGCCTCCTGGGGCGGAGAAAAGCGGGGAGGGGCGGGGAAGAGCGAGGAGGTGCTGAGGGATCTCCGAAGAGGGCAGTCTCCAAATGGGTGAGGAAGACATTTAGAGGCGGGAGCCCCGAGGACCAATGGTCCTCGGGGCTCCCTCACCAGCTGGCGGCGCGACAGCCCGCGCGGCGGAAGCCCCTTCGCCCCGCCTCGGAACCGCGTCCACCTGGAAGATCTCGACGAGCTCCACAGAGCTGCCTGGCGGGGCGACGTCCCCGGGGTGGAGCGCGTCCTGGTGCCCGGAGGCCCTGGCGTGGA